TGCTGTACTGTCCGGTACAGCAGAGCCCGTGGACCGCCGCCCTGCTGCTGCACTGTACGGTACAGCAGAGCTCGTGGACCGCTGCCCTGCTGCTGTACTGTCCGGTACAGCAGAGCCCGTGGACCGCTGCCCTGCTGCTGCACTGTACGGTACAGCAGAGCCCGTGGACCGCTGCCCTGCTGCTGCACTGTACGGTACAGCAGAGCTCGTGGACCGCCGCCCTGCTGCTGTACTGTCCGGTACAACACACCCCGCGTGGGCGCCATCTATTATACAAGAGCCGCTGGTGAGGGAACATCGATTGATGCCGTTTGGCCCCCACCTGTGTGGTGCGTTTGGCATGTTCGGCGCGTCGGGGTGTTCCCCCGTCCCCAGAGGGCGAGGCGTGAACGACCGTTCCTTTCCTCGCTCTGGCCAGAGCGGAGCGCCAACCAGCGCCCCTGATGTCGCGGGAGGGGCGAGTCGGCGATGGGAGGGGAGTCGGCGGCGCTCGTCCGCGGCCGGGCGGCTGAAACTGGCTGGGTACGGCTGGGGCGCTGGTTGGCGAGACGGCTGGTTGGCGGCGGCAAAGCAGCTCCACTTGGTGAAGCCCCAAGGTCCATGGTCGAAACCCGAACAGCTGGTGACATCGGCACCATCCGGTGACACGTTTCACACGGATGCTAGGCGATACCGGATGACCCATGCAGCTCAAACCCCTCAACATTTTTCCGGCGGCGTTATCGCTGGCAATCGGAGCCAAGGATCACCGTGATTGAGAGACGTCCTTCAAACTGCAGAGCATTTCGATCAACGTGGTGGCGAACGGTAACAGGCCACCACGCCCCCTTGATTGCAGGGCATGTGTGGCCGCGGTCAACACGGTGACTACTATCCCAATTTGCCGACAGGTCAGAGGCGCCCACAGGGCACCCGACCGGTCAGAGGCGCCCGCAGAACTTGTGACAGATCAGAGGCGTCTGCAGGACTCCCGACAGGTCAGAGGCGCCTGCAGGGCTCCCAGCACGTCAGAGGCACATGCAGGGCTCCCGACAAGTCAGAGGCGCCTGCATAGCTCCCGACACGTCAGAGGCGCCTGCATAGCTTGCGACACGTCAGAGGCACCTGCATAGCTCCCGACACGTCAGAGGCGCCTGCAGGGCTCCCAGCACGTCAGAGGCACCTGCATAGCTCCCGACAGGTCAGAAGCACCTGCATAGCTCCTGACACGTCAGAGGCACCTGCATAGCTTGCGACAGGTCAGAAGCACCTGCATAGCTCCCGACACGTCAGAGGCACCTGCATAGCTCCCGACACGTCAGAGGCACCTGCAGGGCTCCCGACACGTCAGAGGCACCTGCAGGGCTCCCGACACGTCAGAGGCACCTGCATAGCTTGCGACAGGTCAGAAGCACCTGCATAGCTCCCGACACGTCAGAGGCACCTGCAGGGCTCCCAGCATCCGTCGTTCAGCATTGCGCTCTCCACACCGACTCGTTGCCCAGCTAATTGCGGCCAGCGTCACGAGGCCGGCATTACGGTCCAAAAGCCGGGCAGATCAATAGGAATATCGCTCTTGCGGCGCCAGGATTACATCGATCAGCTAAACCCGGGCGATGCGGGGGGCCGCACCAGCAGGCGGTGATGCCAGCAGAAGGCTAGCGGCCGACAAGTCACAAGAGGGAATCAAGTGGTCTGGAGAACCGCACGCTGGTAATGCCTCTTCCGCTTGGTCGCTGCAGTCAGCCCCGGCTATAGTCAGGCCCGAGGGTTCGGATTCAGCGCCGCTCCCGCTGCACCAGATCTTCGCCGGTCAGCCCAGGCTCTTCAGGCCCGGGGGTTCGGATTCAGCGCCGCTCCAGCTGCACCAGATCTCCGCCGGTCAGCCCAGGCTCTTTAGGCCCGGGGGTTCGGATTCAGCGCCGCTCCAGCTACACCAGATCTCCGCCGGTCAGCCCGGGCTTCAGTCAGGCCCGAGGGTTCGGATTCAGCGCCGCTCCAGCTACACCAGATCTCCCGCCGACATGCCGTCACGAACACCAGACGCAGAGCATGTACAGCTGGCCCACCAGCCGCCTGGTCGGACCGCGCCACAGCGCCTGCACGGCACCCCCGACGCTCTGCCGGCCGCAGGCCCGGTCCGCCGGCCCGGCGACGCTCCAGTGCTGACCGCGGCCCGCGGCCCCAGCGTAAGACATTACATAACGCCCCAGAGACTCCGACGCCGTGAGTCATGGACGCGGCGGCCCGAGCGGGGCGCCCGAGAGCGGCATCTGACCGGGTCACGGGCTGACCGATGAGTCAGCTGGCTCGGGGCAGCGCGCTGGGTGGTACCGGCGCGGGCGGCGCACTCGCCGGCGGAGCCGGGCCGCTGCAGACGTCTGAGACGTGATCTGAATCGTCAGTGGGGGGGGGGGGGGGGGGGGGGGAGGGGGAGCTGCTCCCGCCTGACAGAGGCGACCAATGCAAACACGCGGAAAGAACTGGTCGCACTGGCTCTGGTTGGGGACGGTGGAAACAAGTCCAAATGATGCACCCGATGAACACGCGTGGATTGCAAGACAATTAACGCTTTCTTGTCAGTCGAGTTTCAGTTCCCAGGAATTCTAAAGCGGTTTCAAGCCAACACAATTATGAGACCACAGAAATGACCGTGTGAGGGCTTCATATCCACCAGATGCACTCAAGAGGTTTTGTGACTCTGGTTAGTGTTGTCTGCTTCCTTGCGGTTTACGCAGTATCCACCGGATGAGCCACCACGTCAACCCACGCTTTGTTCAGGACAGCACTCCCTTTTCTGCAGTGTAAGCGCCCGTTTTACACGAGACCGTGGCAAAACAGCACTCGTACATCCATTCCTCTAAAAAATTTAATGTTTCGGAGACATGGATGTCTGATGGTGGATTATCTAACGTATATGTGCGGACATCCACGTGCAGCATTATCTCGACGCTTATGTGTCTCCGGTTTCTGTCCCCCCATGGTATCCGATCAGCCAAACTAGAAGCCCTTTTAACAATGACGTTGGTTTGAACATCGCCTTAAAACGTCAAGATGAGTCCCTTAAAACGTCAAGTTGAGCCCTTAAAACGTCAAGTTGAGTCCCTTAAAACGTCAAGCTGAGTCCCTTAAAACGTCAAGTTGAGTCCCTTAAAACGTCGAGTTGAGTCCGCACGCTGAGTAACAAACGGCGACAGAGACACTTCCACCGAGCAGACGCCGCTGTTCCCGACGGCAGCGGGCCTTCACCCACCTGCCGGGTCGTACCCCAGTGACGTCACGCACCACTCCAACCAAACACAATGTCACGACGGTCTGGCGCCATCGCCTCCATCTGCATGTGAAAAGCCGTCAAGCTGGCGACGCTCGTGCATTGTTTTCGGAGGTCACCGGCAGGGCCCGTCGCCCCAACGGAAGCGGCGGTGACACGGTTTTTCTCGCGGCTCGGATGCCTTCGAACGTGGCCAAGCGCCCGGAAATCAGGCCATCAGAGCGATAAGTTCCCACATTCCGACAGCAGCGGGCGCAACGGGCGAACGTTAACGCCGCGAGCCTCGGCGACGGCCGCCGCGGCCTGCGGTAACTATGCCAACGGCTTCTTGAGCTTTGAACGGAGGCCTCTCCACTCCCATCTACAGCGTTGCCTGTTCTTATGGTAGTTCTGTTAAGGCGATGCACCGGCGGCGTGCAGCCGAAAACGTGTGCAGGTCAGCACTGGTCTGTCCGGCATGGCGGCAAGTACTGCATTATCTTCCGTAGCCACGCCGGCTTCGTCACAACGCTGCCCCCCCCCCCAAAAAAAAATTGCCACCAGGAAAGGCGCGGGTGAGCGGGGCAACACACGGGCCGGGGTCAAGAGGCCCGGCCTCGGTTGAACCTTGCGGTGGCACTCGCCTCGCGGTCCGCACCACGACTGGCATCTGACGCTCGGGTCCGGATCCCGACTGGCATCTGACATTCCGGACCGGATCCATGACAGCCATTGACACACGGGATGGCTGGCATCCACGGCTGGCATTTGACGCTCGGGTCCGGATCCCGACTGTCATCTGGCATTCCGCACCGGATCCACGACAGTCATCTGACACACGAGATGGGATCCACGGCTGGCATTTGACGCTCCAGTCCGGATCCCGACTGTCATCTGACATCCCGGACCGGATCCACGACAGTCATCTGACACACGGGATGAGATCCACGACTGTCATCTGACGCTCGGGTCTGGATCCCGATTGTCATCTGACATTCCGGACCGGATCCACGAATGTCATCTGACACACGGGATGGGATCCACGACTGTCATCTGACGCTCGGGACCGGATGCAGAACTGTCACATGACGCTTGAGACCAGATCCAGGACTGTCCTCCGACGCTCGGGACCGGATCCAGAACTGCCATCTGACTTCACTCGAGACCGGATGCGGAACTGTCACCTGACTCTCTGGACCGGATCCAGAACTATCATCTGACGCTCGGGGCGAGTTACGCGTAAACAACTTTACTGTCCTCACCTTGGAGACCGCGATCACCCCCAAAATTTCGTTTTCCCTTCCCAAACGCACACAAACATTTAACATGAATTCCTCCTATCTTAACCAAAACAAGACAAATTCACGGACCTGTCCGTCGCTGGGTTGGGTTTTTGGGGACAGCTTGCCACAGCAGCTCGCCCAGTCGTTGAACAGATCAAGCGAAGCTTCAACTGAGGTCTGCATTTCAGCTGCCTGTACGGTTAGCCCTGTACTCGAGCACTCTTTGTTACCCGACCAACCTACCCACAACCTACACCCCAGCTCGTTAAATGTGCTCGCGCCAGCCTCGATGTAGATCCTACACCCGAGCTACCTGCGCGATCAAGCCCGGGTATGGCCTCCGTCTCCGAGCTGTGCTTCTGAGCCATCAGGCTGACTTAAGGTCCGGCCGGGCTAGTCAGCTCTGAGTCCTGAGGACACGGACTCTCATCTCAGGCCGGGTCGGTCGCGCTCGCGCGGACCCGTTCCTGTCCGGTCCGACCACTCACCTAGCGCGGCCGAGTCGTCCCGCTGGATCAGGTCCAGGAACAGGTTGGTCACGAAGTAGAGGTGCTCCATGCCCATGGGGTCGAACTCGACCGACGAGCGGTAGCTGTTATTGAGCCGCGGCGTCGAGTACTGCACCGGCCGGTAAGGTAGCACGCTGCGCGGCTCCAGCGCCTGGCCGAGCGCCGGCCTCGCCACCGTCACCCACATCACCACCGCCGCCGCCGCCGCCGCCGCCAGCACGCTCACGCGCGTCCCGGCCATGGCTCCTCCGCTGCCGCCGCCGCTGCCGCCGCCGCCTGCTCGTCCCCTCACGCAGCGTCCGCCCGCCGACTGCGGCAGCAGCGGCGACCAGCCGCCCGGCGAGCGTTGAACCACGCCGCCGCCGGCCAGTCGGTGACGTCACGGCCGCCCCAGCGCAGCCGGCCCGGTGTGACGTCACCGATCCCGTCCGCCGCGCTGCCGGCAGGGAGAGGTGTTAGCAGCGCCCCTGGCGGCCGCGTCGTAAACTGAAGGGCCAGCGGCCGTGCGGAGGGATGGGCGAGGCGGCGCGGGGCCGCGGAGGTCGGGTTCGCGTACCGTTAACCCACTTCACAGCTGATTCCGGGCTCGCATAGCTGGTTAGCGCCGGTTGTGAAGGAGTGCTTCGAACGACTTTGACGTAACTGGGTATTGTGTTGCATCTGTTAGGTCCCGCACATCACTTAAGATTTCACAGACCATCATCCGGTATCACGGCCCACAAGCAGCTCATCCCAAACGTTACGCTAATGGGGGCTGAGCGGTAAATAAGCCGGATGCCAGCGGGCGCCGATTAAAGACGTGACAGCGTCAAGCTTTCGGGTTGAGCAGAATGAAAATATCGCCAAGTCGTTACCAGGCATTGAGCTCACCGACAAGGAAGTGCCATATTTTGTGGGACAATTCCCGCTCAACCTCAGTACATGGACTCCCATTCGAGCCACGGCAACACCCTGCGCTGTGGTCAGCTGTCGCAATACGATTTAATTTGACAGCACACGTGGCCGTGAAGGAATGGCTAACCCTCAGTGAGTGGTAATAATAATGCTTTCAAGGAACGATCTACATTTGAGGATATTCAGGCAAACATCAGATATGATGCAAAAAGCTGAGTTGTAAATATTGGCATACTTGTTATTCCCAAAGACTGACTGAGGCAAAGAATTGTCGCCACTGTTTTGTAAATACGCTCCTAGAAGCGTCATGGTTTAATTAGGTCATGCAACTTCTTTTAGCGTCAGTCACTACGGGACTGGCCGTAGCAGAATTGCTATTACAGCGGACGGGCTGACTAACTTATAACACTTAAACTCACCACAAGGGGCAATTTCATTTATAAGTGTGAACTGAGCCTACGACCAGTAAGTGTGCGTGCTGCCCAAATGCCGGTAGCATGCACCACTAACGTGGTTAGTGTTCCAAACTTGCATTTAACGCGTGAAGCAGGCTGAAAGCTAGCTGTTGTTCGCTGAGCAGTCGTTTGGGCTGGCGTACCCTAGACGCGAGTAAACCGATGGTTATATCTTGATTTCCATTTGACACAATATGGCCATTGCTGGGGCGGAATTCGTGCGACGTTTCGACGGCGTCCTCATAAATATAGTCTGGCGTCCTCATAAATATAGTCTGGCGTCCTCATAAATATAGTCTGCACAGGTTCGTGTACGTCCCGCTCAAAAACGAGACGATTTTAAGTATTAAGAACGCCATAGCTGTGAAATGCAGGACATTTCAGAGCTAGCCGGTCCTATCCGGTCCTATACGGTCATATCCGGTCCTATACGGTCCTATCCACTCCTATCCGGTCCTATTCGGTCCGGTTCAAATTCATGTTTTGGTTGAAATTTCTGATCCGGTCCAGTCCGATCCACGGATTGATCCACAACCGGCTCGCATCCAATCCGGCTCGTGGGTGGATTGACCCAATCCGTGAAGTGCTCCGGTTGAAGACTGGAGCTCGCTCCCTGTCCGCGGCTTGTTATCTTTGTCTCTGGGTGACACTGAAGGAAATACATGTACATGCATGGATTGACTTAATTCTTGCAAGGTCGCCAACAATTAAAGGCTCCGGGCGTATGTGGACTCTATTTTTTCCCTTCCATGCGTAAATAATTGCTGTCGATCTCTTCAGTCATTGTTCCATTTTCCTTTTTCTCATGGTCCCATTTTCAACCTGCAGTAATTGTCCAACGTTTTGTCCTCGGCATCAGCCCAATGGGAGTCGTGCATGCGACAGTGATATTTCCTTGATGGGTATACGTTAGTGCTCAGTCTACAGCGTTACTGCCAAAGGCAGTGCATCGTCACTAAAGCTGTCCAGAATTTGCTGGAGTTAAGAGATGTGCTCGTTGAAACATGAATTATATCATCGTTCTACGCAAGAAAAGACGTTGTTAGACTCTTTGAGTATGCGGGTATGGAGATCTGATAGTGAAAATGACCATTTTAATCGACATAAACTGTTCCCTAGTTAGAAGAGTGGCATAGCACCACCTGCAAAGGACGAACATTGTAAAAACAGCACACCCGTTTTCTCGTCCGCGGAGATGGCCACAATAACTGGCACGCGTGGCGTGGGCGCAACACTTACAGAATTGCTCAGGTGTTTTGGCTATCTTGGTATGGAACGCCTACACGCTTAATAAACGTGCGTTGTGTGATTGTTCGTGTAACTTTCGACGACTGTGCAGCACGTGATAGTCGCGTATGGCGTGTATGCATCAAATAAAGTAACAGGTCACAGAAGCACGCGGTGAAGGCGCCTGCAGCGAACCTCGGCAACATCATTTCAGTACAACAGGACTGCATGGCGGCTGCTGTAACTGTGCAATATGACTGCCGCCACCTCTGGTGACCAGCCAGCCGACCGATGGCTGCCCGCTGCGTGACCTCTCTCCGAAGCGAGAACTCAGCTGTTGTGTTAAAACACACTGCACGGCTAACCGAGACACGGCTGCTCGCTTGTGAGACGTGTCACAACGTTGTAGGATGGGCCGAGAACAGCCGGCACACGGTAGACGAACACACCCGATGGCTGGCGACACGGCAGACGAACACACCCGATGGCTGGCGACACGGCAGACGAACACACCCAATGGCTGGCGACACGGCAGACGAACACACCCGTCGGATCGGCGGCACGGCAGACGAACATACCCGTCGGATTGGCGGCACGGCAGACGAACATACCCGTCGGATTGGCGGCACGGCAGATGAACATACCCGTCGGATTGGCGGCACGGCAGACGAACATACCCGTCGGATTGGCGGCACGGCAGATGAACACACCCGTCGGATTGGCGGCACGGAGGCGTCAGCCGACCTCAGCTGCACTCAGACAGCGTCCTAAGGTCACAGCCTGGGAGAGCTGACGACCTCTGGACAGCCCCCGGGTTCGTCGAGCTGGGCACCCGGAGCCCGTCCGACGAACCCGGAGCCCGTCCGACGAACCCGGAGCCCGTCCGACGAGCCCGGAGAGCGTTGAAGAGAGCATTTTCAACACGGAGCCCCCTCTCTTCCATGCACATTTTCCAGCATTCAACTGCACGCAAATTAATCAATCATCACCAGCAACTGCCAACTTGTCCCTACCCAAACAAAAACACCACCCACTCCTCAGAAAAGTTCAGGCACTTGGAACGGCCCCTGTAACGGGCCGCTCCGAGTCCCGATGGCTCGTCGCGTGTGCGCTGGCACTGAGGAGGTCGGGGTGAGCTGCGGCGTGACGGGCACCTGCACCGGGCGTCGCCCAGTTCACGAACGGGTCCACTGGACGGTGTCCGGTCCACCGTTCGCGGCACACTGCTCAAAGACGGATCGTTCGCAGCACGCCCCGCAGCGGTTTCGCCGCTGCCCAGAACTGTCCAGGCGTGGGGACAGCGCCATGCCGCTGCCCAGAACTGTCCAGGCGTGGTGACAGCGCCATGCCGCCTCATATCGCCACCTAACCGGTTCGCATTCATTGCAGACTGCTTTATATTGATTCTGGATGAATTGACATTTCCATGAATTGACACGGAGGGCCGATGCCTGATTGACATTGACGCCGGGCGCTCCGCTGTCCGGAGAAAAGCCGACGGCAAAGCCGCCAGGCAAAGCCAGGCAAGCCAGGCAAAGCCGACACAGGCAGGTGCAACACCTGAGCACTGTCTGGGAGGGCACGACCTGCCAGCACATTGGGAGGGTACGACCTGCCAGCACATTGTAATGTTACACTGTCGTAGTGCCTGTGGGTGTTGGATCGAAGGAACTGAACTTTGAATACTGTTATGCCGTACCCGAAAGTTTCAGAAAGTTCAACGTGAACGAAAATCCTGAAACATCCCAGCAGTCAGAAGATAAGGAGCGGGGGGGGGGGGGGGGCACACCACGCCACGTTCGGAAGTTGGAGCAGATATCTTCTCCGAACAATCTCCACACAAAGGTCACGGAGGGCCGATGCCTGATTTCAAGCGAAAAGTCGCGTCTCTACATAACTGTATATTAAGCTGAGCGCAGTCCGCCGACGTCCCGTGCTGCGGTGCTCCCGTGCTCCCGTGCTCTCTGCGGCACGGGAGGCGTTATAGCGTTGTTCAAAACCACGCGTTCACAACAGAAGGATCCAGTTGGCCTGGCCTGAAAGAAGGATCCAGTTGGCCTGAAAGCTGACAGGAAAGCCGCCGCCCGATCCAGGTTCTCTCGCCTGCCCCCCCCCCCCCCCCCACGCCCTGATCAGGACAGCTTCCAATCCGCGCGCTCTCGGGTTCATCGGCAGAGCCGCCGGCAAGTGAGATTCGGAGGTGCGGGCCCGTCCCAGAGCCGCCGGTGGGTGAGATTCGGAGGTGCGGGCCCGCCCCAGAGCAGCCGGTGAGTGAGATTCGGAGGTGCGGGCCCGTCCCAGAGCAGCCGGCGAGTGAGATTCGGAGGTGCGGGTTCGTCTCAGAGCAGCCGGTGAGTGAGATTCAGAGGTGCGGGTTCGCCCCAGAGCACCCGGTGAATGAGATTCGGAGGTGCGGGCCCGCCCCAGAGCAGCCGGTGAGTGAGATTCGGAGGTGCGGGTCCGCCCCAGAGCAGCCGGTGAGTGAGATTCGGAGGTGCGGGTCCGCCCCAGAGCCGCCGGCAAGTGAGATTCGGAGGTGCGGGCCCGCCCCAGAACAGCAGGTGAATGAGATTCGGAGGTGCGGGTCCGCCCCAGAGCAGCCGGTGAGTGAGATTCGGAGGTGCGGGTC